TCTGTGCTAATGATGTTTATGCAGAAATACATTTTATGATTAATATTTTATCAGTGAATTGTTTAATATATATGCAAAAAACGGAGATGTATTCTCATATCATTTACAAAAACTAACTCAAAATTGATTGAAGATTTTAACATGTAAACTAAAATTATAATTTTTTTTGTTTTTAGTGCCAGTCCTGGGGCTTGAACTCAGGGCCTGAGCACTGTCCCTGAGGCTCTTTAGTTCAAGGCTAACACTCTACCACTTGAGCCAAAGAGCCACTTCTGGCTTTTTCTGTGTATGTGATACTGAAGAATCAAACCCAGGGCTTTACACATGCTAGGGGAGCACTCTACCAGTAAACCACCTTCCCAGCCCTATAAAATTCATAAAAGAAAAGTTCTATGGCATTGTATTTGGCAACAGTATTTTGTGTGTGTCACTGACAATATAAAAAGTGAAAAAAATGATAAATTGAGCAAATTTAAAATTTTTATGTATCAAAAGATACTACCAACAAAGTGAAAAAGTAACCCAATGAATAGAAAACAGTATCTGTAATCATATGCATAATTAGGTATTAATACCCAGAAAATATAAAGAACATCTAAAAAGAAATGACAAAAAATAGTTCTATTGAGGCTTCAACTGTTTCGATAAGATTCACCACATTACCGAGCGTGTATTTCAAGTACTAATGTAAATGTCAATCTTGTCTAAAACTACTTACATAGAAATCTTTAGAATAGGGGGAGGGAGGGGGGAAGGAGAAGGATTGGGATGGGGGGAGGGGGGAGGCTGGGAAGGGATGGGAAGGGTAAACAAAGGAGGAGGCTGCAATGCTTGGTAAGAAATGTACGCATTATCCTGCCCATGCAATTGTAACCCCTCTGTACAGTATGTTCACAAATAAAATAAAATAAAAAAAAAAGAATAAAAAAAAATAAATTGATAGATATAACCTAAAAAAAAAAAAGAAATCTTTAGAATAAAATTTAGCCAAATATCTGTAGCCTTCTCAAGTTGACACAGATAAATTAACCATCACAGATAAAAATGACCCAAATCCACCAACCAATGAATCAGTGAATAATGGAACATTATACAGCCTTAAAAAGGAATGAAGTTCTAAAAGCATTGTGATACAAGAAATGAGACATGATGGGCTGGGAAGGTGGCTCAGTGGTAGAGCGCTTGCCTTGCATGCCTGAGGCCCTGGGTTCGATTCCTCAGCACCACATAAGAAAAAAGCCGGAAGTGGCGCTGTGGCTCAAGTGGTAGAGCGCTAGCCTTGAGCTGAAGAGCTGAGGGACAGCGCCCAGGCCCAGAGTCCAGGCCCCACGACCGGACCCAAAAAAAAAAAGAGACATGAAAGGACAAACAGTTTATGTGATTCCACTTACGTAAAGCAGCTAGAGTAGTAAAAATTACACAGACCAAAAATAGGATGATGGCTAAGGTACATAAGAGATACAGAAAATAGTTGTTTGATGGGTCAAGAAGCAAAAACGTTCAGAAGTAGTTACATAACAATGTGTCTATTTAATCACTATTAAAGTGTGCTCTTAAAATATGGATAATATTATGCACACACAATAAAATTGAGTTTATTATGCTAAATGTTTTACGTGGACTCTGTCACATAATCCCTTTGTAATCTCTACTTACAGATAACAAAGCCACCTACAGAAAATGACTTGTTGAGGCCAGACTAGTATGAATCAGATCTGTGATCCAACCCTTCACTGTCTGCCTTTAATACCTGCATGCTTAGTCACTGTGTTACACTATAAACAGTGAGCACATTAAGGCAATAAGAAAATAAGCAAATTAAAATATTTTCCAAATAATCTAAAGTTGACTCAATACCTCAAAAATTCAAGGATTGGACTTCCAGAAAGATGTTAAATCCAGATTGCTATTAGTAACTATGCTCCTAAAATAAACATACATTGACTTTTATCATACAGAAGTATCTCCAAGCCATAACATCTCCAGTAATAAAATGAGAAAACAGAACCTGACATCTGCCCCATTTTCCTGCATGTCTTCAGACATTTTGTAGTTTTCCTGTTTGTATTAATACCTTTTTTTTTCAAGTGAGGTCAATCCTTCAACTGACACTTATTGAGCACTTACTGTATGTACACATACTGTGGTGGATTCTATTCAACCAAAGGACAGCAGTCCTTGTGTACGAATAAGAGTTATCTAGTAAGCAAATAAAGTGTGTCTAGTCTCCATGCCAATGCACCTCTTAGATGAGCCCCTATTGATATACAGGCTTCTGCAGGCAAATCTAAGTGAACCTTCCAAGGAGCCTCTATCTGCTATCTCATTGAGGAGACAGACACAGGAGGTTCATGAGTCCAATGCCATCTTGGGCCACACAGCAAGACTGTCCAATAGAATAGTCACCATGGATGCTTATACACTTACAGTAGCATAACTTAATGGTTAAGGCTTGGGCTGTGGAGTTCGACTGTCTGCATCTGTACCTGCCATCTGTTCCCTGTGAAATCTCAAGCATCTTACCCTGCCTGCGCCTCTATCTTTACAACCATCAAGGCAGGACACAAATAGGCACCAACCTTCACAGGGTTGTTGTGAAGATCCTGTAGCTAAAACATGTAAAGCACTCAGAACAACATCTGCTATATATTAAACAGTCAGAAAAATACCACCATAGAGATATATCAAATAGCTACATAGTAGCAACAGACTGTTCCAAGGACAGATGGGAGAATACATGGCCATCCAAGAGAAAAAGAAATTTAGAGATATTTTAAAGATGACGGCACAAAGGGCTGTAACGGCTCAATGCCATGCCTAAGCCCAGACAGATGGTGATCAGCAGCACCAGAGCACAAGCCTGTGCCACAACATAACACCCTCAGAGAGGAGAAGGTAAGAGAACCCCAAAATGACTCTCCCCTTAAGGTGTAAATTATAGTTCTTGTCTACTTCAGTAACTGTAAATTATAAACTTAGAAGTAGTCATATGTTTATAATCAATTCTATCAGGATGAGAGAGAGCTGAGAGAGCTGAGAGAAGGGAAGGATGTAACAACTGATTACAAGTGAAAGACTTTAGGATATGACTACTTAAGGAAAAAGTAGCCTGGATAATGGCTCCGAGAACCAGCCCACTTAAACAGGGTCACAAGAATGAATCCAAAAATCACTCCTCAGCCCTATCCTAGGCAAACCTTCCAATCTGCAGGTCTTGAATGGACATCACAGAAGCCATGAAGCAGATGCAGAGAATGTGCTGGGCAAGCAGTGGAGATTGGACCCCAGAAATACCTCACTCTGTAACTGCTGCCAGTTCAGCTGAGTCCCCCTACCGAAGGTTCTCCTTTCCTGTTCAATCCATGCCTTGCTCTCCTAGCCTCCCTCTTTACAACCTTTCCTCTCACTAATGTCTTACAGATTATCCCAATGTCCACAGAATCATGCCACACTTCCCAGTTACCATGTCTTTGACCCTTCTTCCCATTACTCCTAAAATTATGTCGCTGACCTATGATCCCTTCCCACCCACTGCAACCAAGCAAAACTGGCAAAATCCTTTCTCTCAGCCATACCAGCCAGTCCATGGAGCCATCCTTCAATAAGATAGCCGTGACAACCTAAATCCAAAGCCTTTGACCGATTCTTCATTTCCCATTCAGACACTGGGTTATCGTCTCAACAGTACCTGGCTAAACAAATGCTCAGGACTGGATAAATACTAGTTTTTACAGCAGAGATGAGAGCAGAGGCTGGGAAAACTGAGGTGCAGAGGAGAAGCTAGGAAAGATACGCATTCAATAGCACAGACCTACTATGTGCTTAACAGACCTACTATGTGCTTTAAGTGTTCAACATATTTCACCTCACCTAGTCCTCTAGTCCCACAAGATAGGAGCTACTGTTTATTACTAGCACATTAAAGGGAGGAAACAGGCACAAATGTACTGAGTAATTTTCCCAAGGTTATACTATGGAGTTAGGAATTAAATCTGGCCAGACAGCTCCTCCTGTTGCTTTTCTGCAGCCCTATCACCTGTGCCCCTGAAAACCCCTTCAGTCGTTCTACCTTGTAGATGCATTACCTTTGTGAATCAGAAGCTTACTTTGTAGCTTATCATAGTCTCAGCATATTCCCACCTACTGCTTAGCCAGGAATGAAACATCAGCTCTAGCAAGATCTCCCACAACAGTAATTACAATATGATGAAACTTAAAGTCAAAACATCCCCTCTAACAGAAGAAAAACAGATGTCTAAGATAGACTGGGCCTTGGACCACTCACCCAGTTCAACAACTTTCCATCATTCCATTTCCACATAAAACAATCACTCTGAATTATTTTGATAGAATTACAAGTGGAATATATGATGAGAACATTACAGATACACAAGTCATCGGTCACATGGATTTAAAGCTTAATTTAATCGATGATTAAACAAGCACAATGGATAGGAGAATAACAAAAAAAGATGAAGATTCATATTATGACAACATTCAGGATCCAGTTCAGGCTACAAATAATTTAATATTAAACATCCTACTGACATAAGCAAAAGTGTTCATTCCGAATGTGCCAGATAATTTTCCTAATCTTTCATCAGAAAATTCAGAGCGGAGAGTGAATAAGTCTTTATGAATGTATACAATGTTCTCTCAGGAATAAAATAGGAAAATTAGTTTACCAGTACCTTCAACTTTGAAGCTCTGAGAGGCTTACAACCAAATACCAGTCCTAGGAAATTTGAGTTACAAACCCCTCCCCCCCCACCCCGAAAAACTTTTAAATAGCAAACCAAAAGTTTAAATGTTTACCAAACAGAAGAGAAGGGAACTGGATGTCTATGCTGTTTGGGTCAGAAAGCGATGTTTTTCTCCCCTTCGTTAAAATTTAAAAATAATAATAAGTCTGGCAAAAAGAAAAAGAACAAGAAAACAGAAAAACAGGAAAGAGATCACAGCAGGAGAAATAAGATAGCCAGCATGTATTCAAAACTTACCCAACTTGACTTGTTGACTCAACAGTTTATTTTTCCTACTTTGCCGGTTAAGGTCAGATAGTGGCTGGGCTTTGGTTGCTGTTTCTTTTCTTTTGATCCCGGAGTCCCATGAAAATTACTCCAAGTTGTGGATGGGATCTGACCCCGTCTCCCATTAGGGGGAGGGGGGGGAGTTTAAAGCTCGTCTTCCTGATTTCTTCTTGGGAAGAATCAATAAATAGTAAGTGGCCCGCAGGAGACGACGTGGGGGACGTGCCTGGCTGACGTTAGGCCCGCCAAGTTTCTCTGCACAGCTGTCCAGATGTGCTTCAGCTGGTTCCTCCGCCCTAAATCGGTCCTGCCGCCGCTGGCAGATGCCTCCGCTCATTGGTGGCTGTGGCTTGCTCCTTACGGCCGATTGGTGGAGCAGCCCGCCACTCTTGAGGCCTTTGGCCCGCCCCTGGTCGCCGAGCCAGCGGGCTGAGTTCTGCAAAGGAACCTGGAAGAACTGGGCGGTCGCTGACGTGGCAAGTTGTCTGGGAGCCCCGGAGAAGGTTAAGAGGGGTCGCTGGACCCCCAGATTTTGCCTCGGTCCCAGCCCCTGCCGTGCCCGTCCCTCCAGGCAGTTAGTCTGGATTGCTTCCATCCGGCCCGCCAGAGCTAGGTCCAGGCCCGGGAAGAGGCCGGGTCCCTGCTGCCCAAGCTGCTCGGGATGCTGAGGCCGGGCCCGGGGCTTTACTCCCGGCACTGTGCTCCAGGGTCAGAAGCAAAAAGGATCCTGGAGTCGTGAAGTCATGAGTCCTTCACTGAAATTCTTACATAGCCAGAAATCCGGTTGGTTTGAAGTACCCCCAGGGCGTGATTTTACAGGCTGGGTCTGGTGGCGGTTTTTGTTTTTGTTTTGAGTGGTGGTATTTGTGGGAAAAGGAGAAATGTCGCTTTGCGCTCTGAGAACTGAGAACAGCAACGAACAGTGTGTTGATCCTAGGGAAAATAGTGGGAAGACCATTGAGGGAAAGAGAAGAGTTCTACAAATCAGAAATATGAAATATGGCAAGAGCCACACTCTGGACTGGACTTCACACCATGGGATGGAAGTGACAAGCCCAGAAGTAAACAGCTTTTATCTGCATTATATTTAATTCACCCCCACCCTTTTCTCCACACCCCCCCACCAAGGCATAGCTCCACTTCTGGATTTTTGATAATTATTTGGAGATAAGTTTCACAGACTTCCCTGCTTAGTCTGGCTTTGAACTTACATCCTAAGTCTCCGCCTTCTGTGTAACTAGGATTATAGAGATGAGCCAGTGGTGCCTGGGCCTCATATTTACTTCATATATCTACATAACGAAGTAGATCTTAACATCTCCATTTTCAATGAAGAGACCGATCCCAAAGACTACGCCAGCATCCCGCTAAACACGTTTGCATTTTTTCATTATGGGTACATAAACTTGTTTGTCACCTATGTGGGAGCCAGGATTCATTTGACCACCGCTCCCTTCTGATGTTCCACGCTTTTACTACAAAGATGATGTCTTGTTGGTTGATGTATTCATCATCTATCATTGTGTAATAATTACTACAAACTATACAACATACACATATTTTTTTAACATACACATATTATGGCACTTTCTGAAGCTTAGAAGTCCAAATGTGGTTTAATCGGATCTTCTTTCTTCTCAAGGTCTCACAAGGCTAGAATCAAGATGTCAGCGGGGCTGCATTCTCATCTGCAGGGTCTACTGAAAAAGAATCTGCTTCCAGGTGTCCCAGGATTGTAGGTAGAGTTAATATTTTTTGCACCTATGGGGCCAAGTCCCCAGTTTCTTTCTGGATGTTAGTAAGAGGTTACCCTTAGCTCCCAGATTTTACTAAAAGACAGGAGGAGAGATCATAGGGAGCTACCTTAGCAACTACTGCCACAAACCGGTGCTCATAAAACCTGTTTCTATTGACCTGACTACAATGTTATAACTCCCCCCCCCATGGAAAAATTCTCCACCTTCCCCGCAAAATCAAGGGCTGACTCACCAGAAAAAAGTAGGACTACTTGAATAGATATGCATTATTTTTAATTCCTCTCAGACTCTTGGAAACCCTTAAAGAAATAGCCTTTGAATGTGGTCCTAGAAAATAAGATGTGTCATGTGTTTTGCTTTCTGAATCATTTGTAATGTAACAATGGTACACATCTTAGCATAGAAGCTCCAGTGAGCTGACAGTCCTGATATTGAACAAGCTACTACACATTGCCATCAACAGGCATTGACTACTGGAATCATCTGCTTAAACATCTACTGAAAAAGCTTTCTTCTGGGTTGTGGGAATATAGAGAAGATACAACCTTCTGCTGTATTCACTGAAAACCCCTAGACTTATATAATAACCAATATAAGAAAACACTGACAGAGAAGATAGACCAGTTAGAAATCTCATAACCCAAGATCTGATTTTTGTTTTTTCGTTCCAGATTTGAAGCTAAAGACAGTAGTGCTATCATTTAGATTTGGAATGTGCCCGAAAGGTCCATGTGCCATGACTTTTGGGGAGGTGGTAGATCCTTTAAGAGGTGGGGACTAGGAGAAGGGTATTAGCTCATTGGGAGCATGGCCTTGAAGAAAATACTGGGACACTATTGCCTTCCTTTCTCTGTATTTGCTTCCAATAGACATCAAATGAACAGGCTTACTCTGCCATACACAACTGCCATAATGCTCTGCCTCATTATAAGCCCAGAACTGACCTGAAGTCGCAAAATACAACAAAAGCTTATCTATAAATAAAATCCCGATTAAAAGGAGATTTATCCAGTTGGACACTTTAAGTATGTACAGTTTATCATATTCTCTTTGTACCTTAAGAAATGTTTTCAGAATGGTGTTAAGAACACAATAATATGGCTTAAAACATGGTTATACAAAAAATATTTGGATTCATAATGATTACTTCTCAAATTGCTCAAATCGTAGCAATATTTTTAATGCTCTGGAGACAGTTGCATTTTTGCTCAAGGCTAGGGCTCTGCCACTTGAACCACAGCTCCCCTTCTGGCTTTTTCTGTGTGTGTGTCTGTGTCTGTGTGTGTGCGCGCATACATGCGCATGCTTAATTGAAGATAAGAGTCTCACAGACTTTCCTGCCCAAGCTGACTTTGAACTATGAGCCTCAGACCTCAGCCTCTTAAGTACAGGTGTGAAGACTGGTTCCACAGAAATTTCATATTTTTAAACATTTGTCAAACCAGGTGCTAGTGACTCATGTCTATAATCCTACCTACTCAAAGGCTGAGGTCTGAGGACCGTGATTCAAGTCAGCCCATAGAAGAATGTCCGTGAGACCCTTATCTCCAATTAAGTACCAAAAGGGCCAAAAGTGGCAGAGGGCCAACCTTCAGCACAAAAACTCAGGAACAGCACACAGGCTCTGAGTTCAAGTCCCACAACAAACACACACACACACACACACACACACACACACACACACAATTGTACTTATTACCTGAGTTATGAAATGATAACCCCTCTGTACAACACCTTAATAATAACAATAAAATTGTATTTTAATAAACACTTGTCAATTGATTGTTTTAAAATAGCTTTTTTTTTTTTGGTTGGTCATGGGGTTGAACTCTGTGCCTGGGTGCTGTCCCTGAGCCACGGTGCCACTTCCTTAAAATGGCTTTTGTCTTCATTTACATTTTTCTTAGCAAGGATGTCAGGAGAAAATTGACAGATTCACAGGAGGTCATTTAGGGTGAGAGGGCTGTGAAGCCAGCCCGTTCACCTGATGAGACTCATGGAGCCGCCAGGCAAAGGAAGATGTGCCCAGCCTCTTCAAGGAGCTAGAGTGACATCACTCAGGAAGGGAGCTGGACTTTTGTTTCCAGGAACCTGGTGGAAAAAAAAAAAAAAGAACAGGTGGAACTCTGGTGACAAGAGGCAGATTTCTCCATGGGGAGTGAGGGGGAGATAACAATGTTAAGTGAAAGGTTAAAGTTTGAGGCAGTGACCACCACTTTGCTTTGCTAAGCAACACGTGGTGGTAATCAAAACACCTGGTTGATTGTGTGCCTATATAAGACCTGCAAATCCTTAGCTCAGGGCTCTCCTCCTAGGCTCCGCTGTGTCGGAGTGTAGGATGAGGCCTGAGCTGCAGCCCATTTAAATAAAACGGCTGTAGAGTCTGACTCTCGGTGGTCTTCTTGCGGGGGGGGGGGTCCTGCGACCTTGGCATAACATTAAGTACTAGAAAGTCAAGAAAGAACTGGAACATTCTGGGGAGATAACGTGTAAAGGATATTCCTGCATCCAGTGGCATTTGGACTACGCAGTCTTCAATTGAGTGATCTTCAAAAGTCTTCTCCTATCTATTTTTTCTATATGATCTGGCACTTCTCCTGAAATGGTGACTTAGTATCTTATTATGTTTACCAATCAAGGGGGTAACAAGTAAACACATTTTTATGAGAACACTATGAGTAAAAACATACATTAAATAACCACAGGTAGCATAAGTATTTCAGAGATGACAGGAGACTCCTGAAAGAGTGCTTTATGGCTCCCCTGTCATGTTAAAAGGGTTCATAACCAGAACAACACTATCATTACCCCTTTAATGAATGGCTAGCCAGCCCCATCCCAACTGGAGGGCCTCAGTAACACGCCAGTCATTCTGGAGATTTCATTGTGTGCCCCATCTCTCCACCAAAACTCTTGAAGGCAATGTACACCATAACAATGGTACAAATGTGCTACTAAAGAAGACTCATGCTGCATAGAATCCTGAGAAGGGGGGAAAGAGAAAAAATGGGAGTTTAGGAGTTTGAAAGAAGTCTTATTCATTAAGGTTTGAACACCACCTAGATCAGGTGTTTGATGCTCTGCTAACGAATTTTATCTAACAAAACTACAACTTATAAAAAGTCTTCCAAAGTCATCAAGCTTTGGAGGCTTTTTAGGAGTTATGTGTCGAGAGGGAAATGGAATAGGGGCAAAACTAATGATGAGATCAGTGAAATAGTTGAAATAGACAATAAGTTTACTTCAT